TTTTTTGAGACGGAGCTTCACTCTTGTTGCCCAGGGTGGGGTGCAATGGTGCGATCTTGGCCCACTACAGTCTCTGCCTCCCAGATTCAAGTGATTCTCCTGCCTCAGCTCAGTAGCTGGGATTACAGGTGTGCACCACCGAGCCTGGCTAATTTGTATTTTTAGTATAGACAAGGTTTCGTAATGTTGGTCAGGCTGGTCGCGAACTCCTGAGGTGTGTTTTTTTTGTTGTTTTTTGATTTTTGCTTTTGTTTTGGAGACAGACTCTCGCTCTGTCGCCCAGGCTGGACTGCAGTGGCAGGATCTCAGCTCACTACAACCACCACTCCTGGGTTCAAGCGATTCTGCTGCCTCAGCCTCCTGAGTGGCTGGGATTACAGGTGCCTGCCACCATGCCTGGCTAATTTTTGCATTTTTAGTAGAGATGGGGTTTCACCATGTTGGCCAGGCTGGTCTTGAACCCCTCAAGTGATCCTGCCTTGGCCTCCCAAAGTGCTAGGATTACAGGTGTAAGCCACCGAGCCTGGCCTGAGTTTATATTTTGAAAGTAGGGCCAAAGTATTGTTTGTTTTGATCCAAACAGGCTTCGCTGCATGTTACCTCACAGGTTTGACCTTGGGGGAGTGTACATGACTCACAGACTGGACCTGCCATTGCCATCCCTCTGTCTCGGTCTGCAAAGACCAAGACCGTGTGTCCCCTTTCCTCATCCTTCCCTGGGGTAAACACTGCCAGGTAAGGGCTTCTACAGCCATCTTCTGCAGCAGCGCTTGGGTTCTGCCCCCTTTTCCCCACTCAAAAACCCCAGGAAGTCTATAAAAGCTTCCTCACTAGAAAATGGAGCCCTGACTCCTTTAGATCTTGAATCCAGTATGTTTAAACCTTGGTCATTGGGCAGTCTGCAAATGAATGTCCTGAGATATCCCGGAAGAAACTGACCCTTGCCTTTTAGCCTAGAGAGAGGCCCGGTCCCCAGCTGCCTGGTGTCAGCCAGACAAGGGTCAGATCATCAACAACCCAGTCCTTCCCCCTCTGACTAGACAGAAGGCTCTGGAATGACCTCAGCAGAGCATGGCTGACACCCTGCCTAGCTAAGTCTCAGAGAAAAGAAATCAAAGGAGTTCGAGACCAGCCTGGCCAACATGCTGAAAACCCATCTCTACTAAAAATACAAAAATTAGCTGGGCATGGTGGCGCACACCATGAGTAATTCCAGCTACTCAGGAGCCTGAGGCAGGAAAATCACTTAAGCCTGGAAGGTGGAGGTTGTGGTGAGCCGAGATCACACCACTGCACTCCAGCCTGGGCAACAGAGCAAAACTCTGTTTCAAAAAAAAAAAAAGCGGCCGGGCGCGGTGGCTCAAGCCTGTAATCCCAGCACTTTGGGAGGCCGAGGCGGGTGGATCACGAGGTCAAGA